ATTCCTGCCCACGTGACGCGGCTTCGTAGGTGAGAGTACGGAGGCGGCCCGCGTGCGAGACGTCACACGCGCGGTATACAAGCTCGTGTTCGCGGCCGTGCTCTGGAGGGGCTTATCAGCATTCGGCATTGCTTAGCTGGCACTGCCGCTTTGCTTTACCTCGCTCTCGACGGTCTCACTTAGTATTCGTTTAACTAGCCGGCCATTCCGCACCTGTTGAATGTGTACGGTGCAAATCGCCGGATTGTTGATCGATCGCGTCGATCGAAAGCCTAAAAATTGATACGCGTTCTCTGCGTGTGTTTCCCTCTTTTTTCTCTTTCTCCTTTTTCTCTTTCTCCTTTTTGGAGGGGAACAAAAGGGAATCTTGATCGCAGTTCCACTTTTCATCAACATTCAGAGATCAATAACTATCGCGCTGGATCTTCCCGCGAATATGTCGAGCGAGGACCGGGACCGCGAATAACTCGATGAGATGTTTCAATATTTTGGAATACGCGGTATCAGCGCGTTTCGATAGATACGCGAACGATCGTGATAACGCGCTGATATCGATCTTCGATATCTTGAGCAAGTGCGACATCTTAAACAAACGATATCGTGTGTGCGCAAGGTATGACAAGACGACGTTCGCGGATTCAACTGGTTGATTCATACTCACGATGGTAAGTACATATTAGTTTCTCCCACTTTCGATGTTTACATATCTTTCGAATAATCCCGAGGTCGATTGTACGGTCCCTGACCGCAAATCTCGTACTCGCGAATATGCGCATGGAATCACGTGTTTCCTTTTTTTCCGATGAAATTCCTAGTCGTGTTTTGTCTCGTCTTTGACGAAGTTATCGGAGTTATCTCGAATATCATAAATGGTGCAAATCATTTTATCGGTCATTTGTGTGACGTTATCAAAATAGTTACGTATTCGGCGTAAGACTTATGGCAAAGCTGGTATTATTTAGTGTATCTTCATCCGTCATAAGTTTCCACATCTGGCAATCGTAAATATTGAAATGTAAATTTTATCTTTGTGTGGAAGATAACAATTGCACAAGATATATATATTTAACGAGCTACATTGTAACTTTTCATCGTCATGTTCATCTAATTATAATGACTATTTGCAAAAAAAGAAATGCTTCTGGCTTAGAAAAGTTATATTATAATAATTGTAGAGTATTTATTTATAATATTAATATACGTTTTATACAAAGAAAATTTATATATATAATAACTCATTCTCTCTTCAGAATCTGTCAGTTTTAGTGTAATAAGAATGCGTGTAAGTTGATGTTATCTATAGAACTGTCAATAATTTCATATCGATGAGTAACCTTGATAGTTGATAACGGTATGATCTATTTCATGACAAATTTTTAGTTATATAAACAAAAACGGGAAACTAGAAAAAAATATTTAGAACTCATATGATATACTCGTTTTCTCTTAGATTGCTCTTTGATTTTCCACCTGAAAATAAAATAGAGATATTTACAGATTCCAGTAGATTTCTCATCGTAATTGATCACATCCGTTCACAGACCTCGTTGTTAGAGATGCAACTATACGCACGCAAGGTCGAATGCAAACAAGTCGATGAGATGCATGAGATAGATATTCATGAGATAAATTCTGATTAGAGACACGATCGTGTCACAATAATGATAAAAAAAAGGCATTTTAATTTGCCATTCCTGGTACAATTAGCAATCGCATATCACATTGATATTGAAAATAAATGCAGTTTACGAAATCTTTCGAGGAAGCGGATATCAATCGTGCATGACGTACAACTTCTTTTCGCAATCTTGCATTTCCGTTTCCGATATCCTTGCCATTTATAATTTTTGCTTCATCGTTTTAATTAATGCATGCTTGATGAAATCGCGATAAAATGTATCACAGACTTTTTCACGAGAACAGGTAGATAACTAATCTGTTTCTATATTAATAAATAATTTTCCGCGCTTGCATTTTATTTGTATATATGTATATATATATAT